AGATCAAAGAAGGTGGTTTTCTTAGTGAGCCACATCCGGAGCCTTCGATCTAAAGGTCTGGTCCACAAAGCAGTAGAGCAATGTAAGGAGATGCGATCCCATGGTAGCCGGTGACCAATAATCGGTTCATAAGCCATTTGTTCTCTCAGGATCTTGGAGCCCATGTGCGCCATTAGTTTAGAATCAGGGTTTTCCAACTCTCCCAGATGGGTCCTCCACATCTACCAACCCGATTAAAGCGCCGGACATTCGCTTTAGTCTTCTCAGTTTCGTAAACAACATCCTCGCCACGAGGAGACAGTGAGGTTGTATGCACGTGGCCATGTGAGAACATTCGGAGAGAGAACGCGGGCTCTCCCCACCCTCGGCCGTACCAGGGCATTATTGAACTGATTCCTATACGACTGTCACTAGAGGATTTTTGTCCATTCTTATAGACTGGGACGATCAGAGATCGAGACCAGTCAGATGGGATTGCGTCCACATCCCAGATCCTAGCTAAGATTTTAATTAATGTAACTGCTAAAGCTGGATCACCATACATAAAAATCTCAGGTTTTTGTCTATCAGGTACCGCTGCTCTCCCTCGCTTCAGATTATTTATAACCTTTTCGACTTCACCAAGATTTGGAAGACTTACATCAGCTTGTTTGGAAATGGTGGGTAAATGAAGTGTGGCTGAAGGTCAGTTGAACTGCCTCCTTAAGTGTTCTCCCTATTGATTCGATCTTCCGGATTGACAATAAATAATACCCATGTTTTGTTCCAAAACAGTTTCACTAACAACTGGTGTTATGACCTTGAATCGCTTTTACCCCGTCGATACTTTGTTATGACTTGACCTTGATCTGTCTAGTCTAGATTATGACCTTGACGCGATAGGCTGAGCGGCTTAACCTTGAGTCCAGTACGCGTGAGTTCGAGATGGGGTAGAGAGAGAACTATTCAAGAAACTGATTGGTCGGCAAGCACGCAAGTGAGAGAAGACAAAACAGTTGGAACACTGAATTCTGAATTCGGATTAGTGCAAAAATGTGCATGAATAAGTGAATATCCTGACCACAACGTATGATCATTTGGAAAATTACAATTATGCCCGAAACTGGGAATTAGGGTAGAAAATAAGATGCAAAATATTGTTTAAATTACAATATTTTCGGAACAAAAAAGGGTATGGCAGTGAATGATACATAGAACGAAAGCTCATGTTATGTAGAATAAAATAGGGACAAAAATAAATATAAGTGTTTTACAAGGTCTGAATGAAATGAAATAACGTCCCAAGAAAATAGCTTTCGTAGTTGTCTGGGCTTCTTATTTCCCCGTTCACGACAACTGGGTTTTTAATATCCGTTCCCTAGATAAATTTGAACACTTGTCTACTATCACCTATTGCTTCTGCCTTTTCCATCTCTCCTGCTGTCTGTACTCACCACAGCTTAAGATCATTACGTAAGCTTTTTACTAGCCTACGTTTAAGCTGCCTCTGCTAATCAACGTGTTCAGAGCCAGAACGGTCAAGTGTGAGAGTATCTACCAACTCAGTAGACTTCGCTGAAAGTCATTGACTTTTCAAACTGCTTGAAGTCGGTCACACACGACCTTTTGGTGAGTAATTTTCGTGTTAGCTCCGTACTTATTGGAACCAATGCATGTATGTGCCTGGTCCTACGTTGTAGCTGACTGACTGACTTATTAGAACCTTACCGCCAGAGACGGAAATCCGTGGGATAAGTTGAGGTGTGCATTTTTAGGGTCGAACTTTTCTAACCCACTTCTTGTGGGAGGGCAGCATCGCTGTTATGCTGGTTGTCTGAAGGAAACACCCCACTTCCATCACACCTCTATACAGTCAGTAGTACAACTTCACCCTAGGATCTTGGGTTTGCTGCTTTTATTCTTACCGCTCTTCAACTGACATGTCTGGCATGGTAGGACCTTGAGGAACGATCGTTCCAGCCAGTATAGCTCGATTGGTTCATCACGATGGGTAAGCCCAACCACCACGTCAACAGTTGAGTTTTGGAGACGTAGCACATATCGACCGAGCGAGATACTAGAGTCCCAGCCAAACAGCCTGCTTTCTCATCTGACACAAGGTTCGAACATTAAAAACTCCAACATATGGTTTAGAGCATGGTGATAAAAAATATATAAGGGTTAGCCGTGAGTATGGACGAATTATTAAGAGGTGGTAGAGGGATTCGGTCATCAACAAGATGATTTCAAATGTTGATAGAAATATGTGGGTGGTCGTCACTTCGCGGTTGTTCGCACCGTAGAAGGACATTACTTCCTGAAGAAGACAAATTAATAGTGGTCTTAGTGACCTGAATGCGTGACCGCAGAGTCAAAGGAAAAACTGCTTGAGGCTGTTCTCACACGATCTCTATGATAAGTCTTTGATGTGTTAGCTCCATGCTTCGGAAGGCCTTGCCGCCGGAGATGGAAGTCTGTGGGGTAAGATGAGAGATTTTTAGAACCGATCTTCTCTAACCCCATTCATCCAATATGAGAAGGCAGCATCGCTGCGGACGCTGGTTGACCGAGCAAAACACCATAGTGCACCTAAACACCTCCACGTCAAAATTCCCCAGTCATCTAATAATAGCATGAAATACTGATGCCTTTGTGCTTTCGAGTTGGTTGTACATCCGCTCTGACATTTGGAAAAAAAACTCCCGACACATCCACCAACTAACATCTCGATATTTGAAAAAGAGGCCCTAACTGAAGACTAAAATCGGCTACAAACTCAAAATTAGCGGCTATGGGTTTAGTATCCAAAAGTAATTTTATTTATTTGAACACATAAATATTGGTACAAGAGAGCGCCAATATATATGCGCCACACAAAACAATGAAAATTCGAAGAGAGATAGAAAAAAAAACTAAGGAGCACAAAAGAAAAAGAGAACGATAACGAAGAGATTGGTGTAAGGTAGTGTGGTGGTAACGGGGGAACGGAAAGTACAATCAGAAGAAATCTTTCAAGTAAGGGAGACACAACCACTTTTTATGAAGAAAGTAGAAGAAGGTTACAGCAGGATCGCCACTGGCTTCTATTCTGAGTCATATCTGATAACGTCTCTAGCCACTGTGTAGCACCATCTCTCAGACCCCAACCAGGGAGTCGTGAAGGACCGACAGAAGCCAGTCCTTTGCAACTTTCTTTCATACCACGACACCATGTCATACACTGACCACCTCTCCGCTTTTTCCAACCAGTCCCAGAGTCGGCAAATAATGCACAACGTGGAATTCTCTGGGACGACATTCGTAGAACATGTCCAAGCCACCGAAGTCGGTGTTTCAAGATGGTGACACCAATTGAATTATCATCTCTGTGCTCGAACACACGATGCCGAACCTCTGCATTACTAACATGGTGTTGCCACTGAATGTCAGCGATCCTTCGGAGACAGCGATGATCGAACACAGAGAGTCGTCTAACGTCCTCAACTCGGAGGCCAGGTTTCGCAAGCATAGAGCAAAACTGCTCTCACCGACGCGTTGTAGATCCGACCTTTTACAGCCAGACTAACATCACGAAGGCGCCAAAGGTGGCCCAGATTGGCATAAGCCGCTCTGGCTCTCACTATACGTGCATTGATCTTATCACTCACACCCCCACCAGCACTTATGCAGCTACCCAGATACACGAACTTCTCGACTACGTCTATCTGCTCACCATCCAGGGTGAGTACAGGATTGGAATCCTGCCAGTCTTGTAGAATTACTTTGCACTTCGAAGGTGCAAAACACATACCATACCTACGGACACTGGTTGCCAACTGATTAAGTGCGGATTGCATGCCTTGGGCATTATCGCACAGTAAGACAATATCATCCGCATACTCAAGGTCTAGAAGTCTTTCTCCAGGCAACAGATCCACACCACCATTACTTACATTCATCAGAGCTGTTTCCAGAATGTCATCGGTGGTACAGTTGAAGAGGAATGGTGAGATTGGGCAACCCTGCCTAACCCCACTACTCGAATGGAACAATGGAGAGAGATCAATGGAATAGTTTTTGAGGTGAAAGTAAACTTGATTCCGCCGTCATTTAAATTAGTGTGCAGCAGAACCTGTATGTAACAATATGGACAAAACGCGACAGCACACCCATTTCGAGCTAGGATGTCACCCGAAACCCAAAGGACAGCATATACTACAGAAATGTAAAAAGATTTGGTGCCAAACAATTTGCAAACACACAGAGACGGACACATGCGTGTTTGCTTAGTTTAGCACACTGCAGATGGTTTGAAACTGGGTTAAGGAAACAAGAGGCACGAAGTGAGTAAGTGAAATGAAGGCTTCACGACAAACAAAATAACACTTCAACCAACACTCAGCCAGACATTTACTGAGTGCCTTTGGGTTGTTAAAACTTATTTTGAGCATTGTCATCCGGTCTTTAACAGGTTAAAATATTTCGAAAACTTTACATGAGGAACCCACACTACGGGACTTGGTCAGGAACAGCAGTCAATGGCTTTATGGTTAGTAACATTTTGATTCAACCGTGTCAACACCAACATTCCTCATAGGGTATGCTAAACACGCTAACCAAGATAAGGTTATTAACCTGAGGCTGATGCAGGTTACGGCCCTATTTGGTCTACGGTTATGTTTGTTCAGCCTTACATCCCAATGATGTCCCCGGCTTTGACTTTATGCACACAATCTTGGAATACACACACCAACCAAGGCAAGTGAAATTAGTTAAGTGTCCTGCTACAAAGGAAATAGGCGATATGAAACGTTTTCTAAAAGACTACGTTTTACATTTTGTTAAGTCAGTCGAGTCTCAGGTACCAACCGGTGGAAAATTAGACTGAAGAGAGCCCACTCCAGTTGTACAGCCTTCTTAAATCAAAATAATTGGATTAAGATTTCAGACAGTAGACAAAATTAGTCGCCAGAAACTACTATACGTTATTCTGTGATTTTAGGATTTACAAACCAATGATACAATGAAATTTAGTTACTAACCTCACTTTTCCCAGAAATGTGCGGCAGTTTAAAATCAGAGCTGCATCATGGCCTACATTAACGACTAGTCAATGTGTTGCGTTCAATGGCTCAAGATATGAAAAAAGTGTATCACCCTACCGAAAACACTTCGTGTTGTTATTACAAGACAGTGATAGAGGAGGTTTATTCAACTTTAAGGCTTGTTATCTAATGACCTAATACAAGAATCTGAAAGAGGAAATATAATTCGAAGACTAAGTTATGACAAGGAAATCTATGGATGTCAGTTCTAACCCAATACTGGGTTGGACAGAAATAGATATTTGCGAAATTCCTGAGATGCGGATCGAATTAAAGAGGGCCATTCTTTGATACAAAAGATGCCTTCTTAAATATAACCCTTAAAACAAGGGAAGGAAGGGTAAATCTCATATGCATTATACGAAACTTACGAGAACCCTTATCATATGCTCAGTGAAATTTTTATATGTAAAAGTATTGTTAATATCAGCTGCCTACCTTTATTTCTACATTGTATTTAAAATTCAAGGAGTTTCAAAATCGACAATTACGTTTATAACGTCGTTACACTTTTACTATCATTGTTCGACCCTTTCACTTGGTGTTCACTTCTTTTCTCTCTTTTTTTCTCCTAAATAAATATTATTTTTAGGATTCCGAAGTTTGTAATTAAGACAATAACTTGTATTACACTTAAGTTGACTTCTCAGACTCGTTTTATTTTCACTATGTATATATGACTCATACATATTGACATTTGGTAATCTTGGCTGCAATTAAACGCAACTCAATTTCGTAAATTTGCCCTTCAGCTTAGCAACCAATCAGAATGTGGCGGGAATTATTATATCAGCCATCTTTGTACGTAATGGCGGTCGGCTATCTTCGCTCTGTGCTTCTTTTAGCTATTTCTTTTGTGTAGCTATGTAATTAATGTTTCAATGTGCTGAGATGCCGCAGTTAGTGTAATGTTCTACATGTTGGTGTGAAATTTACTTCGAATCAGCATTGTTTTTTGGGTTTTTGCTGCTTCTACTCTAGTCAATGTATTTCTTCAGTCAAGCTGGTTAGTCTTATGTTTTAAAATGAAAATCGGTTTTGTTTTGACTTGTTTTCTAGATATCCAAAGCCGAAGTTCGTTTTTTCTTAGCTGAAATAACTGTTGCTGCCTCCTGTGACTAACTGTCCGCGTGTTCATTCCTAACTGTCCTTTATGATGTTATCGGCAAAATGAAAGGAAACAATTTACGGTTTTTAATTTTCTTCAGTATTGCGGACAACAATATCCCACCAACGAGTCAAACTAATACTTAGTGCCTAGCAGTAGGGGATGTCAGTATTGTTTTCGAAAGTACCCAGGCTTCCGACAACCACAGATGCTACCAATCTATTGCAGAGGGTTTGTTATGAAAAAATATGCCACATAGCAGTAATGGAGGGGTTGTACGCATTACGTAGTGCGTTAAAGCAAGCTTAACATTGAAAAGCCGGAAATCTGCTATCAGTGTGTAGTGTATGTTTGCTGTTTCGGCCACAAAAGGAAGCCGAAGGGTCATGATCAGAAAGTAAAAAGGTAACTAACTGTTATTAAGCTCACCTTTTTATAGACCATAATTCACCACTCTCAGATTTGTGTTTTTTTACGGTATGATGTCAACCGTTATCTAATATGTTCACCTTTACGATGAAAAGTACTTGCAAATTCTCAACTTCATATTCGAATTAATTTGTGACAACTGTCTTCCAGTTTGAGTGCTTCGTACGCCCTGGGAGACTAGATTCCTACATTATTCACAGTTCCAGTATAACATTCTCACGCAGTAAGTTCAAAGTAAACACTAGTCTTTCTAGATAAGCATGTTAAACTAATATCCGTATTCTCTATTTCAGATGATCGATGAAGACATGTACCACGTGCATCTGTTGTATATTGTTATTTTACTCCAATTCTTACTGTTATATCTTCTGAAAAATAAAATTGCTATATGCAGCAAATACAGACTTATTGTTTTGATGGTGGTAGGGGGGTTCATTGGTTTTTTAGCAGGACTGTAGTAATATTCCCACTAAAGAGCTAAGTGAGTGCGTAGACCAATGTAAAGTACCATACAGGGTGCCTTTGAATTACTCGTGTTCCATTAGTGTCGGTAGTCAGTCAGTCAGTAATAACGTAGAACTTAGTACGTACGTACATCAGTTCGAGTTGCCATACCACATTAGCACAGAGATGCAGTGGTCGATTCAAATCCCGTAGTGGTAGAGGTAGCAAGAGTATAAGCAGTAATCGGGAAGATTAGGGTTTGGAGATGTTATTTAACGAGTATAATCCAGTGAAATAAATTTGGAAAGAGGAAAAAAAGGGGCCATGAAGAATTCAGATAATTAGAATTTGGGAGAACATAGAGAGTGGATGCACCTGCGCCATTGCAAACGATTTTGAGCCATGTCATTCAGGGTCTCTAACCATCGGTTGCTATCATCTCGCGGTCCCCAACCAGGTAGTCTGGTCTGGCCGCCCCTAGCTTTCTTCCAACCTACTCCTATACCACTGAATATAGCACGTCGAGGTAGTCGGTGGTTGGGCATACGTAACACGTGTCCCAGCCATCTCAACTGTTGAAGTTTCACTACTTCATCAATTGATTTGCCATCCTTACCTAGTACCCGTTTCCTAACAACTGCGTTACTTACTCGGTGGTCCCAGGATATACGAGCAATACTTCGAAGACACCTATGATCAAATACTAGTAACCTACGAATATCCTCTACTCTTACCGGCCATGTTTCACTTCCATAAAGTAGGACGGAACGAACTGCTGCGCAGTAAACACGTCCTTTGGTTGGTAGACGGATATCTCGCCTACGCCATAAATGACGCAAGTTGGCAAAAGCTAGTCGAGCCTTCTGTATCCGTGCTGAGATTTCGTCACACACCAGACCACAAAGGCTGATGAGACTTCCAAGATAAGTGAAGTGGTCGACACACTCAACTACTTCACTCCCTATCACTAGTTCGGGTGTTGATGTAACCCAATCCTGAAGCAACATTTTGCATTTCGAGGGAGAGAATCGCATCCCGAACATGCTTGCATTGTTGCTTAGAGTGGTCAGAAGACTCTGCATTTTGTCAGCGTCTTCACCAAATAAAACTATGTCATCTGCATATTCTAAGTCAACAAGTGAACCTCCCGGTAGAAGTTCAACCCCCGGAAATTTAGATGAGGAGAGTGTTATCTCTAAAAGTACGTCGACCACAAAGTTGAACAAGAATGGGGAGAGTGGACAGCCCTGATGAACACCACTTGAGGTAATCAATTCTGATGACAGTTCGCCATAAGCTCTCACTCTACCAGTTGTGTTCGAGTAGAGAGCCTGAATAAGGTTAATGTACTTCTTTGGTACTCCTTTCAGTGACAAACACTGCCATAGAACCTTACGATCAACAGAGTCGAATGCCGCCTTAAGGTCGAGAAATACTACCATTGTGGGGCGTCTAAACGTGTGTCTGTGTTCTAGAACCTGACGTAGTGTGAATATTTGGTCTATACAACCACGTCCAGGTCGAAAACCAGCCTGATTTCCTCTAGTCTGTTCTTCACGAGCTTTGATTAGGCGTCGAAGTATTATTGAAGCTAATATTTTAGACACTATATTAGTCAAACTGATTCCTCTATGATTGTCACAAGAGGACTTTTGTCCTTTCTTATAGACTGGTACAATCAGTGATTGAGACCAGTCAGATGGAATTACGTCCAGTTCCCAAATTCTACCTAAGACCTCGGTTAATCTCATTGCTAATAGTGGACCACCATCCTTAAAAATCTCAGGAGTAAACCTGTCAGGGCCTGAATAAGAAGCTATGAGATTAGATGCAGGGACGGTTAGGATGTGTAACGCGTGTCCATCCATCAGTTTTCGTGGCAACTCACGGTGGCTAGAATAAGTTGTGAGAGGACCCGAGCCTGTAGGTTTCCTAAGAAAGTGACGGAGATATGCACCAAATCACCTTATGAAGAGCGCCTCCAATCACTTAATCTCTACTCATTAAAGTATAGACGTCTTAGAGGTGACCTATTTACTTACAGGATCCTTAACACTTCTGGACATTTTCTTAAACACCTATTTGAGCTTAGTCCCAGAAACTAGAGACACGACATAGCAGAATGGACTGCAGACGCAACTTCTACTCCTTAAGAGTTGTCGAATGCTGGAATCCGCTGCTCGCCGAACTAGTCCAAGCGACTTCCCAGGAGTCCTTTGGGAGGCGACTGGATCTTTTATTGTTAACATACCTAGGTTCCTGCTTGGAGGTTTTGGTGATCCCCTGCTAATAGACACGGAAGCCTGAACACATGAATTAGGTGATGAGAGGCTCGATTATCACAAGTTTCTTGCAACGATTAAGTAGATAAAACAAAGTAGCATTAGGTTCAAAAATTTATTCGAGAACTTTCATTAAGAATCGAATATGAAACAAAGGTTTAAACCAAGTTCCAGTCTAAAAGTTGCATTTGTAATGTTAAGCTTCAGTTTTTGTTGTTTTTTCCAAACGAAAGGGTAAAAGAAGTAACTCAAAAAGTACTGGAAGTGGTTGTGAAACTAAAATGGACGTCCAGCATCCTTTTTATAATCTGCTGTTAGTTGGGTCTCCAGTAAACAGGGCCATAGTTCCAAGTGCGAAATAGTTTTTAGGATTTGTGAAGGCTCACTCCTGTTGCATTCTAAATGAAAAAATAGTGATGAATTTAGTCAGAAATGTGGAATAGATAAATAACCAAATTACATGTTTTTTAGCAAAGAATTTATGCAGTTGTGATTTACCTTTAGTTCATGAATATTAGGTCAGGTCAGCTATTACTTGTGCAAAGCATAACATGGACTTAATACCGTATCTCAATGCTTTTATTATTTTGCTCTCATTTAAGTATTACCATGTATCTGCATCTAGTTTAACAGGGAGACATACAAGCAGAGTTAGTGTTCGATGAACTAAAAGTCCTAGTAGTCAAAAAGATTCTTAACATTTGTCCACAGCCAAC